GTGGCTGCAATGATGAGCTCAAGTATAGCAGGGATTGTGGGGCTGGCGTGGGATAGGGCAGTGTTTCGTTCTGCTGTGCATGGGGTCGCTATGAGTCGGAAACGACTCGGCGGCACTTAACAACAACAACAACAACATTAGTCCTGTAGACTAGTTTCCTCTTTGAATCTTTGTTTTCCTTCATCCTTTTTGGTTTTTTTAATTTTTTTAATGTGATTTGGGTGAAATTTTACAAAGCACATTCATTTTACATTCACCAGTTCATGCACATCTTGTTTTATGACACTGATGTCGTCCCACACATTATAGCAGCTCTCCTCTCACTTCCTCCCAGTGGTTACCCTCTCCCAGTGTCCTTCTTGCCTGTCCACTCCTGCCTCCGTACGTTTCTCCCTGTGCAAGTGCTGCTCTTCTGATCTCCATGGTCGCTTATTCTAAGGAGTACATCACCCTGGTGTAGTTGTTCAGTTTATAGGCCTATTGTTTGGCTGAGAGTTAAGCCACGAAGACGAGTTCACTCCAAAGGATGACTTGGGGCCATAGTCTCAGTGGTTCTATCAGTCTCTATGTGACCACTAAACTGGTCTTTTTTATGTTTTTTAAATTTTGTTCCACATTTTTTTCTTCCGCTCTATCCAGGATCTCCAATTTTGATCCTTTTCCAAGTGGTTGGTGTTAGTAGTTGGGCACTATCTAGTTCTTCTTGTCTCAAGGTCATATAGGTTGAGATTCTCACAGTCCATTGGTCCTTTGGACTAACTGTTTCCATACGTCTTTGATTTTTTTCACTCTTCTTTGGTCCAGACAAGGAGACACCAATAGTTGCATCTTAGATGGCCACTCACACACTTTTAAGACTCCAGTTTCTACTCACCAAAGTAAGATGTAGAACAATATTTTTGTATACTATATTGTGCTAATTGAGCTTGATGTCTCACTCAAACGTGGTCCCCAGCACCCAGGCCCAGTGACTCACTCTCTCAAGGTTCTTAGTTGTGGCTAAGAAGTTATCCTACCTTTGGCTCCTGTTAACTTTTAACTACATATCCTTCATTCTCTTTTGCTCCATACAGTAAGAGACCAATAGTTGTATCTTAGATGGCTTGGCTTCTCACAAGCTTTTAAGACCCCAGATGCTACTCACCTAACTAGGATGTAGAATAATAAGATGGGAATTTTTTTTATAGTTCTTCTCTTTTTAAACAAATCAAACTTGTGGGGCATATTATTCATTTTTCTGTTTATTCAAAGACGTTTTGAGACTTTCAGAGAGAAAATGGGTTAAATTTAGGGAAGTGAAAACAAATGCTTATTATTCATAGGGCTATTGATGTGGGATAACTTTTCTTTGATTGGAATCACATTTAAAAAAAAATTGTAGGCAAAATAAGGGAGTATGCTAAACTGTTTAAGAGTTAAAACCATATACCAGGAATCCTACCTTAGCTACTAGACTCACCTCTAATGCTTTGGACAAGTCACTTAACCTCTCCGGCTCTCTTGACCTCAGTTTCTCCATTTGTGAAATGCATACTTTATGCTAGATTGTTTCCAAATAGTTTTAGAGATCTTCAAGGTTAAAATTCATGAGTGGCATGTAATGAACTGTACAAAACAGAAAAGACATACCAGATTATCTAATCTAACCCTGTCATTTTGCAGATAATGAACCAGAAACCCAAAAGGTTCTTTGGGTGACTTGCCAAAGGTGACCCAACTTGGGAGCTGGAACTAACACTCATGTCTTCTGGCTCCCAGCCTATGCTCTCTCTTTATTTCAGATAAAGTCAGTTACTTATGACACATTCTCTAATGTGATCCATACTAAACCAAACCAGTTGCTGTCGAATCAACTACAACTCAGGGCAATACCATGTGTGTCAGAGTGGAACTGTGCTCCATAGGGTTTTCAATGGCTGTGATCCTTTGGAATTAGAACACCTGGTCTTTCTTCTAAGGCACCTCTGAATGGATTCAAACCACCAACCTCCAGTTAGTAGGCAAGTTTGTGCCACCCAGGGTCTTGCCTAATGTGATAAGTTCTTCCTAACCGTGGTCATTTCTGCTAACAGAAGGAAAACGACAGATTCCTTTAAATGGCCATTTCCTTGAGAAATTACCTGAAGCCGACCTTAAATCAGAAGAGATTGTGTTATCTGTTTATATTCCCTACTCTACTCAGGTAAGAGCTTGCTAAATCCCTGTCCACTGAGTGACATGAAGCTCTGCAGGGGGCCTGCAGATGGGCTTCAGGAGAGAAGGGTGCTCTCTCCATTTAAACTAACTGCTTCAGGGAGACTTTTCCAGATGCTCATGTTGTTGTTGTTGTTGTGTGCCATCGAGTCGAACCCGACTCATAGCAACACTTCCTTGGGTTTCCGAGGCAGTATCACTATGGAAGTAGATTGCCCCATCTTCCTTCTGAGGAGTTGCTGGTGGGTTTGAACCACCAGCCCTTTGGTTAGCAGTCCAGTGCCTTAGGCACTATGCTACCAGAGCTCCTATAGGGAGGGGCAAATTCTCAATGGCCATTCAATTTGCTTTCATGTCAGGAACACAGTATGGTTTTCACGGACCCTAGGTACTTCTGCCTTCGTAGGTCCCTTCCACCATTAAAAATATAATATTCAAGATTATATTTTACGACTACGTCCTATAAAGATTAATGTAATCCAAGCGGGATCCAGTATTAGATGTCCGTTAAGATTGTATTCATTTTCCCTGTGTTTTCTAAAAGAAGTTAAAAGTAAAACATTCCTTAACTAACATCTTAACAAATATTTTTCCCCATTACATACCTAAAAGACCATGCAAATAAAGTATCATTCAAAAAAAAATAAAACATTTTCACAGGTCCCTGAAAGTACTGTGGGCCCTATCTCTGTGCCTAGCGTGCCTATAGGATATATCAGCCCTGCAAGAGGAGAGTCTTTCATGTGAGGAATTGAATTGTTGGTTTCAGATAAATAGGCATCTTAGCTAAGACCGAGCAAGTCTACAGCCAATATCTTCCACAGCAAGTTTCTGATAAACTGAAAGTTCATTGTCATAAAGATATTTCTAAGTCAACTGAAACTTATTTGAGTAAAATTATACATCTGCAGTAACCACTTACCATTCATTCTCTGTGCCAGGCACAATGCTACATCAGGAGGAGACTACAGGGTTTAACCAGAAAGAAACTATAAGTGTTTATAAGCCATGGGGTCCTGTTCTTGAAGGTCTCTAAATCGACAAGGAAAGGTTTGGAGTAAGGAGATAACTAACAATCTCAGGAGTCCATGGGTGGTGCAAATGGTGGATCACCATGAGCCCAGAGTTGACTCCATGGCTACTGTGTTTTGTTTGTTTGTTTGTTTTAAATAATCTCAGACAACAAATGAGTAGAACCAAGAGTGAGTAGTTCTGGTGGAGATAGCCCTCTACTGGAGTAGTTCAAAGAGAAGGGAAGACTTCAGGGTTGAGCCTAAAAAATGATACCTTAGAATCAGTGAAGAGAAGGAAGTAGTCATTCCAGGCAAGAGAACAGCCTGGTGGAGGCCTGGCAGAGTGAGAGGCAGGGAGCAGGGAAGGATGGCTGGAACAAACTCATGAGAGGAGGCTAAGAGGGAGGCTGGGGCTACATCACCCAGCAGATCTATTGCTCCACCAAGAAGTCTGTACATTTTCTACTAGATAAACACTTTTAAAGACCTTAAAGCAAGGTAGAAATGTAATGAAAGTGATATTTTAGGAATATAAATCCAATAGAAAGATAGAGGATAAATCGGGTGGGGGAGAGTGAGCTTAAATGACTATTTACCAGGTAATTGCAATACATAATACTTAGGTATTAATGGGACTGGTAGGAATAAGGACATAAAAGAAAGGGCCCATCAGTCATCCAAGTTTTGTACTCCAGTAAAATAGAGTAAATATGATTGGTATGTCTCAAACACTTCCTTATAACCACTGCTTTCTATGGCAAAAGTGGCATGACCCTTGACAAGGTTCAGGGTGGTAAAATTTAATCTTCATTCCCTCTTCCTCTTCCCCAAGATGCACACAAACTGGCTTTTCTAATTCCTGGCTCTAATGTTGCATACCAGTAAGAGCCCATCCCCCCAAAAAAGTTCACTGTAATGAGATGTAGTCTAGAAATGACAGATTAAGACATGGAAAGGAACTTGGAGACCATTTGGCCCAGTGTTTTTCAAGCTTAGTTTTATTTAACAGTAGAACTGTTCATCAATATGGAATTTACATAGCACACCAAACTATGAAACAGATAAAAGGAGACCTGTGATAGTGCAATCTGAAATGTGCCCCACTCAGCAGCTCCTGATCAAGCCCACCCTTCTTACGGACATAAAAGAAAATTAAGCCCCAAAGACATAGGTGCTGTTTGGAGTTGAGAAGCAGTAGTGCTTAGTAGATAAGCATCAACTGGAGTCACACTGCTAGGTCTGATCTCCAGTCCTGCCACTTACTGTGTGACCTTGTACAAGTTACTTAACCTATCAGTTCACTTATCAGTAAATTGGGAATGAGTAGAATTGTGAGGAGCAAATATTAATACATCTAAAACATACAGGAGAGTAGCCAGCATATAGTCAGTATTCTATGGCTAATAAAAGTACCTATCTAATAGGGAGCTCTGGTGTCGTAGTGCGTAAGGCACTTGACTGCTACCCAGAAGTCTGGCAGTTCAAACCCACCAGCCACTCCTCGGAAGGAAGATTGGGCAATCTACTTCTGTAGTGACACTGCCTCGGAAACTGAAGAAGGGGTCGCTATGAGTCAAATCAACTCAACAGCAGTGAATTTGGTTTTTTTAGTATCTGATAATTCTTACCATTCACCTGATTTTTTTTTATCTCACTATAATCAACAAAGTTTGCTGCTGTAAGTTGGAAAATAGAGATAAGTACTAACGGTTCTGAGTATTTTTTTGTCTCTAGTGGGATTTTTGTTTCAGGACTCCGGCTGGCCCAACGTCAAGAGAATGCCTTTGCCATTGTTAATGCCGGGATGAGTGTAAAGTTTGAAGAGGGCACAAACACAATCAAGGACCTTAAGATGTTTTATGGAGGCGTGGCTCCCACCGTTGTCTCTGCAAATCAAACCTGTAAGCAGCTCATTGGGAGGTAAGTCAGAGCACATCTGTAACAGAGACCTCAGGACTTCTTTTTTAAAAAAAAATAAAAATAGCACTTGAGGATTTTTTTTTTTCTGAATAAGGAGCCCTGGTGGCACAGTGGATAAAGCATTTGACTGCTAACCAGAAGGTCTGTGGTTCAAACCCACCAGCCACTCCACAGGAAGATGAAGTGATTTACTTCTGTAAAGATTTATAGCCTCAGAAAACCAATGGGGTCACTCTGAGTCTGAATTGACTTGACAGCAGTGAGTTTTTTTGGCTTTGGTATAAAAATGTATATTCTCATATAGAAATTTTAACCATTGCAGAAAAGTGTAAAGAAAGTAAAAGTCACTCAAAAGCCAACCACCAGCAAGGTACAGTGGTCTTTTTATTGCAGGTTTCTGTAATAGATTAATGCACACATTACATGGTCTGAGTGGATGTTTCAAAGACTTTGTTCTAGGATATTTGAAATGTTCTTAAGGCACAGAGAGATGAAATATTCAAACAAGTTAAATGGCCTTCTTCCTGGGAGTCTCTGTTTCTAACACTTGGAGTGTTAAGTTACTTTTAATTCTTCCAACTAGTACTTTTACAATAATTTTTATCCACCCATTATATTGTTGTGCCCAGGTTATGAAGGAGTAGTTCGGGGTGAGTAATTTGCTAACATACGACAATGCAAAAAGCAATAGGAAAGTTTATTAGCTAACTTAAGTTAGGGTCCTTGCTTTCACCCCCGCAATGGGTTGAGCAAAAGACCCCGTGCTCTTACATTAAAAGACTTTTATAGAGAAACATAGGGTGGAGTAGATAATTTGGTTTTTATGATAGGGGTTTGGGAATTTGGGGCAGGTTGGAATCTCCCCGGTTTCAAAGGTGAGTGAGAGATTTTTCGGGGCTGGGCGGATCTCTTTGATATGTGCATACTCTCTGCGAAACCCCGGGGGGTGAGAGCTCTCTTAGTTTTCAAAGGTGGGTGAGAGGCTTTTTGGAGCTGTGCAGATTTCTGATAAAAGGCTCTGAGGTATGGGACATTTACTACAGGTATTAGGGTTCAGCATGGGACGTGTCAATCTACCTGGAGGCATTAGGGCTCAGCATGGGACGTGTTAATCTCCATACTAAAGGCTTCTGGTTAAAAGATCTTTTAGGTTCTACATTTCCCACTTTTTTTATATGTAAATGAGGAATCTTCTTCTTGCATTGCAGGAGATAAAGACTGATATTGTTGCTTCAAGACCATGAGTTGTACAGTATTAACCCGATCTTTTACAAATGGCACAAGCTTATTTATAATGCAGGGACCAAAAGTTAATATAATTATAAGGATTATGAAGGGTTCTAAGAGAGTAGATATTAAAGTAGTCAACCACGGGGAGCTATTAAACCAAGACTCAAACAATCCTTCCTGAGTTTCCCGTTCCTTTTTCCTTAGGGCAAATCCCTCTCGCACCTTGGCTATGGATTCTCGGACCACTCCTATATGGTCTGCATAGAAGCAACATTCTTTTTTTAATACAGCACATAATCCACCTTTTTGGAGAAGCATAAGATCTAACCCCTGGTGGTTTTGTAGTACAACCTCCAATAGCGAGGTCAGGGATTTCTCTAAGTTTGAGATAGAGGTTTCTATCCTTTCAAGGTTTTCATTTATAGTTGCTCTCAGAGAATGCATGCTTTGATTTTGTACTGTTAAAGAAGTTATTCCTAGTCCAGTCCCTGCTAGGCTAACCAACGTAGCTAGAGTTAGGGCTATAGTGAATGGCTCCCTTTTTTCTCTGTTAGTTCCGCTCCATTGTACATACATCTCTTCTTCTGGGTGGTAAAGAATTCGGGGCAGGACAGTTACCAGTATACAATGATCTGAGGACAGATTAAGTACTTTCAAGTTTAAACAGGGTAAAAGTCCCGCTTTCGAGCAAAGTTACCAACTCCCTTCCCTGGGAATAATCCAATTAAAGGACGGGTTTATTTCAGTATATGAGGTACAACATTCTTGGGAGTTGGGGGGCTTCCCTACGTGTAAGCCCTTTCCCGTTACACGTTGTATAGTAATCCCTACCTTATGGTCTTTCCAAGAGCAATTCTTTGGGTTCAGGTCATGAGAATAGCTGAAAGAGGTGTTAATGCTTACTGCTTCATAAAACGGAGGCTTTGCATCGTAACAGAGCTAGCAGGCTTGAGTCAAATTAGGACTAGTACGGTTAAGTGTTTGGTAGGCTGCTAGCATTAAATCCCAAAGAGGGTCTGTAACATCAGGAGTTACAGTGCTCGGTTCTTTCACTGACTCCCTTGTAGGGGGTAAGGTTTCTTTTTCCAGGGGGTTTAACACTTCATTTGGACCCACTGACCTGGTATCTAAGGGTTCTATTTCCTGTACAATGGTTATCACCCCAGAGGGATACCCCCTATACCAAATTTGGAGACCTCAAGTAAGCTCAGATTTCCACTTAGCTAATTCTTTCTTTCCCTGTTCAGTGAATGAGGTTTTTATCCAATCACATTTCTTACACTTTCCTAATGTATAAATATACCTGGGCTCGGCAAAGGACAATGTTACATAGCCCTGGGTTTTTACATGCTACTTCCATTCCCCATCATTAGAAGTTACGCAACTCCAATTTTTGCAGTACCCAGGGCATGCAAAAAACCCCATCTTACGGATAAAACTTTCATCCCAAGAACAGCTAGTAAGTGTTGCTAGAGAGAAAAATAAATCAGGCTACCAGACATTAAGGGGGGTGGTATGGGTGGTGGAGTTTAAAGTCTCATGGGTTAGTCCGTTGCGGATTCTCTATGTAACTTTATAGGGTTGGTGAGCTGCGATACTTATTGCGAGGCAGTAGAAGCTTAGGGTGAGGGCGAGAAGGACTCTAATCTCCATGGTGCTGCGTTAAATTGATTTTCAGCGGGTTTTCAGGATCGGAGTACACTTTCCAATTCACTCGTGCAGACAGCTGTTCCATCTGGTTGGCTTTCCTGATATGGGAGTGGTGTATCCAGGTGCTGACTCTGTCTACCTTAACAGCAGTGGGGGGTCACAAGAACGATAACATAAGGTCCCCTCCATTTTGGTTGCAGTGTTTTTTTTGTTTTTTTGTTTTTTTGTTTTTTTTTTGGTGCTTTTTTACCCATACTCAATCCCCTGGTTCAAACTCATGGACAATCCCCTGTTCACTAAGAGGACCTTCATATATGGCTTGAAGTTTGGGCTATAATTCCCTTTGAATTACTTGGAGAGTCTTCATTTCCAAGATTAAATCTTTTGACAAGTTACTGGGACATTTTTCCAGGCTGGAAATAATAGGGGGTGGTGTCCCATACATTATTTCAAATGGGGTCAGATTTAGAGTATACGGGGTGTTCCTAGCATGGTATAGTGCAAAGAGGAGGAGGGTTACCCAGTTTCCGCTAGTTTCTATTGCTAATTTAGATAGGGTCTCCTTTAGAGTTCTATTCATTCTTTCTACCTGCTCCAAACTCTGAGGGTTATATTCACAATGTAGTTTCCAATTCATCCCCAGAGTTGAGGCCAAGCTCTGGATAACTTTACTTACAAAAGCTGGTCCATTGTTTGACCCTAATGTTCTAGGTATTCCATATCTGGGTACTATCTCTTCTAAAATTTTCTTGGCTACTACCAAGGCTGTTTCCCTTCTGGTGGGGTATGCTTCCACCCATCCTGAGAAAGTATCCACTAACACTAAGAGATATTTGTATCCATATTTACCTGGTTTAACTTCAGTGAAATCTATTTCCCAATGACGGCAAGGCTCCCTCCCCCTCCTCCTTGTACTTGCATGTGTGTTCTTCCTCTTCTCTGTTTTCATGACCTGACAGGTTCGGCACTGGTCCACCACACTCTGAGCTGTTTGTTTCTGATGGGGCATACAGATCTGCTCTTTGTCCAATAATTACAACATTTTCCGTTCTCCTAAGTGAGTCACTTGGTGGAGATGTGTGAGAAGGTGCTGTCCCAATCCATTTGGAAGAATTAGCTTTCTTTCTAAGTTCATATACCATCCATTCCGATCCTTTTCTATCTGTGGTGATTTTTCAGCTCACTGTATGTCCTCTTCAAAATAGTTAGGAGTAGGAGTCAGGGGTTCCAGCTCCAGGCAGGGTAGGTTAGTTATCAAAGTTCGTACCGTTTGGAGGGCAGCCCTCTTAGCTGCCTGGTTCACTGCTCGGTTGCTTCTTGCTTCAAGGGAGTGTCCTCTCTGATGTCCTGGGGTGTGGACCACCGCTACCATTCGCGGCCGGGTCACAGCTGATAACAAGCGAAGAATTTGCGCTTGGTTCTTTATTTCTCTCCCTTCTGTGTTTCTGAATCCCCGCTCCCGGTAGATTGCGCTATTTACATGAAGAGTCACAAATGCATAATGACTGTCTGAATGTTGTTGTTGTTGTTATGTGCCGTCGAGTCAAACCTGACTCATAGTGACCCCTCCTTGGGTTTCCGAGGCAGTATCACTACGGAAGTAGGATTGCCCAACCTTCCTTCTGAGGAGTGGCTGGTGGGTTT